GATTCCCTCTGTCTAAACATAATCTTCCACAATAATATTACAATGATAAATTGTCTTTCCTATCATAACAATCAGATATCACATTACAATGATGCTCTGTACCATCACAAAATCATACGTATTCTTGGCATACTTGACTATACTCTTAGAATACAACATGATTCAATCAAAGTGTCATAAAAATGTTACTTTCTGTTTTACATCACAATGGTCCACTGCCCCTTAAAATAGTCAACTCTCCTATCACAAATGTCAACTGTCCCATAACCATGAGTCATGTCACATCGCAATGATCTATCATTCTATTCACTCTCATGTTTATTCAGTCACTCATCTCAATGGTCCACTCCTAATAAAATGGTCACTTGTCTATTTATGATGTTCCAATATCATATCGCTTACAAAATGGTATATTATCTGATAACAGTAATCTAATTTCCCATCAAAATGGGTAACTGTCCAATAACAATATCACAGTGGTTAATTGTCATATACTTTCCACAATGGTCCACATTCACATCACAATGGTTCAGTGTGACATGACAGTGATTCACTCTCCTATCACAATGATACACATTTCAATCTGAAAGTCTTGTCCTACCACAATGGTCCGCCCCTTCCATCAATATGATTAATCTCATCGAAATGTTTCAGTCCCATAATCGTTCACTGTGAAATCACAGTTATCCATTCTTCCACAAAAATGATTTACTCAACACGGTGCTCCAATGTCTGATAATAATTATCCTATATCTCATCCTCTATCACAGTTGTCCTCTGTCCCATCAAAATAATTTATTATCTCATCACAATGTCAACTATACCACGGCAATGTACCAAAGTCCAGTAATTACATCCCAATGTCCTATCCCCATCACAATGATCCACTGTTCCAACAAAACTTTCCACTATCCTCTCATGATACACTGTCCCATCACAATTATTTGCTGCCCCTTCATAACAATCCACTATCCTCATTCTTTCTATCTAAGCACAGTGTACCATCACTCATGTCTACTATGTAATCCAGGACTCCAACTTATGATCACTATGATCCACTGTTCCAAAACAATGGCTCACATCCCATCTCAGTTTCTAAAAACAATGGCCCAGTACACCACCAAAAGTTCTACTGTCCTATAACAGTGATTCACTGTCTCATTATTACATTCCTCAGTTTCATCACAGTAATTCAATGACTCATCACAGAGATACATTGTCCAACTACAACAATCCATTGTTACATCACAATTGACCACTTTCCTATTTGCTATTCCACACTAGATCATTGTCCTATCAGAATGATTAAATTGCCTATCACAGTGTTTCACTGTTCCATCTCAAAGATCCATTGTTATTAGAAAATTATAAATTTCTAATGTCCTGTCCCCTATAATAATGGTCAATTGTCCTGTCTCAATAGCCCATGTTTGCATAACAAAGATTCATGTTCACATCACAATTTTCCACATGGCAGTGTCAATTGTCTTATTCTCTCTCAAATTAATTCACTGTCCCACCAAAGTGGGCCTTAATAGAATAACTTTGACCCACTTCCCTATCACACTGTTCCTTAATAATCATTCATTGTTTAATCAGAGTGATCCACTATCCCAACACAGTCCAATAGTTAGAATAATCTATTACATTGGTCTACTGCTCAATCACAATAATTCACTATTGTATCAAACTCATTCACTGACCAATGTCAATGGAGCATTGTCCTATCCCAATGGGCTACACACTTATCACAATTGTTTACTGTCCTATCCCCATCACATTTGTCTGTTATCTTTTAACTATGTTCTACTGTTCTACTGTTATTGCATGATTCACTGCTCTATCACAATGATTCACTTTCCTACCACTGTCCTACAATAATTGGACATTATCCTCTCCCCTACCACAGTGGTCCACTGTCCAACCACAATGACCCACAGATTCTTAATAATGATTCATTGTTTCATCACAACTTTAATGTGGGCAATTTTTCTATTCTCTCTTAAAATGTTTCACACTGCTTTCAAAATGGTCATCTCTTATTTAATGGACTATTGTCCACTGCTCCTTCAAAGTGATCAACTATTCAATAACATTGGTCTGCTGCCTTAAGTCAAAGATCCATTCTCCTGTCACAATGGTCCACTGTTGTATCATATTAATTCACTATTTAATTCACTATTTAATATTTCTACGATGATAATGACCATTATCATTGATCCTCTCTCCCATAGCAATGACCAGTCATTCCAAAGCAATGATCACCTGTTTCTGCATGATGTTGATACATTGTTCTATCACAATGGTGCACAGTCCCATAACACTGATCTATTCTTTCATCACAATGGTGAACTGTTCCATTATAAAAGCCTACTATCCCACCACAAAAATTTTCTGTCGCATAACAGTAGCCCAGTATCTCATCATAATGGTCCACTTTTTCTTCAGAATGGTTCATTGTCACATGACAATGCTCCATTGTCCAATCACAATGGTCCACTGATTCTTTACAATAATTCACTGTCTAATCAGAATGGTTCACAGTTCCATCATGATGGTTCACTGTTCTACCACATTGATTTTCTATCTAACCACAGTGGCTGACTCTTATTACAATGATCTTATCTCCCATTACAATGAGCTGCTATCCCAAGGCAATGGTCAGCTATTCTTTCTGAAGGATCCACTGTTGTATCACAATTATATACATTCGAATTACAATGATGCATTCTTCCATTACAATGATCCACTATCTCATCATATTGGCCCACTGTCCATGGTTCCGTCCACTTCATGGTTCATTGTCCTTTTACTATTGTCTACTGTCACAGTTATTCACTCTCCCATTAAAACGATTTGTTGTTCCAACATCATGATCTACTGTCCCATCACAATGTTTACTCTCCCATCAAAATATTTAATCTTATATGTCTTTAATAATGTTCCAGTATCCTATGTCCTGTTATGATGGTCTATTCTCTCATAACATCAATTCACCATCCCATCACAAAGATCTACTCTATCACAGTACTCCAAGGTTCCATTATATATAATCTCATGTCCTATATCCTATACAACATTTCACTGTTCCAACATAATATTCTATTATTCTGTCAAAATGGCCTCACTATTCCATCATAATATTTTGTTGTCTCATCACAATGTTCTAATCACCTATTATTAACAAAAAGTCTTTCATTATATTATTACAGTTTTCCACTGTCCATCTTCCTATCACAAAGATACATTGTCCCAAAACAATGGCTCACAGTCCTTTCATAATGTTTGTTTTACAATAACAGTGGTCTACTGTCCATTCCAAATGTTTAGCTCTCCCATATTCATGAATTTTTACCCTATCTTTTTTTCTGTCTCACCACAGTAGTTGACTTCACTTTTCCTTTTCACATTGATACACTATCCCACAGTAGTGATCTACTATCCCGTCATAATGATCCATTGTTCTATCACAATGCTCGACTGTCTCATAAGTAGTTATATTATGATAGTTATAGTTAGACATAAATGTTATATCCCCTGTCACAATGCTTCAGTACTCTACCACAATTGCCAGCCATCCCATCACATTGGTCCAATAGGTAAACACATTTCATTATCCAATAACCACAGTTCATTGTCCAATCATAACACCCTGTCTCTTTGTGTACAGCTCCACTGTTTGATCACAATGAGAGTGTCCTATCACAATACTCTATTATTCCATCCCTTATCCTAATTATCTATTGTCAAATCACAATGGTCCACAGGCTCTTAACAAAGATTTACTATACCATCACAAGGTTCTCCTCTCTCTTGACTGTGTTCTATTGTTCTTTTCACTCTTATAATGGTCCACTTCCCACAAAAATGGTCCATTATCCAGTCACAACTGTCCACTTTTCCTTTTCAATCACTTAGAGCATAACCACTGCCCACAACAAAGATTGACTCTCCCATTACAATGCCCAACTGTTCAAACAATGGACAATCTCTTCACGAGTATTAACTGTGAAATGATAACAATGGTCCCAATACAAAGATTCTTTCTCCATAATATTAATATTATTAATATAAATAAAATATTCTCCTATTTCTCACAATTGTTGTCTAATCACAGTGGTAAACTTGCTCATTATAATGATTCTTCCATCACAATGACCATCTGTTCCAACACATTTGTCAAATGCTCCTTCAGGTTAATCCACTCTCCTATCACAATGGTCCAGTCTCCCAACACAGTAATCCACTATCTCACTACAATGGCCCACTCTCTCAACACAATAGCCTACTGTCCCATAAAAAATTTCACTAGCATTCACAATTATCCATAAGATTGTTCCATAAGATTGATTCAGTCCCGTCACCATGTTCTACTTTCCCACAATAATGGTTCCGTATACTATCTCCTATCACAATGGTTGACTTCTTTCATAATGATTAACTCCCTAATCACAAAACTCCACTGCACCATCAGTACTCCATGGTGTACTAATTAAGGTTCAATACACTATCACCTATTTCAGTATTCTACCATCCCCATATAAAATTCCACTATTTTATCACAATAGGCCACAGTCCTATCATAAAATTCTAATGTCCCTTCACAATGTTCCTATATCTTCCTATTCCCAAGAAAAATGGTTCACACTACCATCACATTTGTCCACTGTCTCATCATAAGGGTCCACCTCCCCAAAATAATGACCCATTTCCCAAAACTGTGGCCCATAGTTTCATCATAATTCTCATTGTTCAATAACAATGGTTCACTGCTTCATCCAAAGGTTCCACTGTCTCAAACAAGGATCCACTATCCCACCACAATGGTCCACTGTTGCACCAAAATATTCTCCTATTTTTCATAATGATGAAATATTCACAGTGTTCCATTTTTGTATCAGAGTGGCCCACACTTCCATCCAAATTATTTATTTTGCATAACAATGATCAACACTTCCATCAAAATAATTCATTTCCTTACCATTAATTAATAGTCTCACCACTATGGTCTCCTGTCATATCACAAAGCTTTACTGTCCCATTACATTCAACCACCGTCTCAGCACAAATGTCCATTGTCCTATCAATATCACCATGATCAATTTTTCCATCATAATTTTTCACTTACTTATCACAATCTTTCATAGCTTTTCTCAGAGATTCAATATGTTCTCACAATAGTCCAATACCCTATCCTGAGTAACAAGTTTAATTATCCCACTTAAACGGTCTGCAATTACTGTCTCATCAAAAGGTTCTACTGTCTCTTCATAGTAGCTCACTCTCATATCACAATGCGGAGCCCATTGTCTCTTCACAATGATTTATTTCTCATCACTCTCCCATATTAATAATTCACTGTCCAAAAGCAATGGCCTGATCAAAATAATTCAGTTTCGTCAGTTTCTAACTGTCGTATCATGATGGTCCTCTGCATCATCATGATGATTTGGTAATTCATCACAATTAATTCCTGTCTAATCACAATGCTCCATTATCCAATAATAATGGTCCAATATCTTATGTGTAGCAGGATATTTTCTTGCTACATTGTATTTGTCGTGAAGCTCGGTGACTGGGCAGTACAAGAGGTAGGTGGAATGAGGAGTTGGGAGGAAAAGGAGGGTGAGGAGAAAGGAGAAGGAGGGAGGAAGCAACATGGAGGAAGAACCTTGGATCTCTAGCAGTCTCGGGTAGCAATTTCTATCAAAAGGTTAGATATTGGATAACAATTCTAATTGGTTGGGCATCTTGTGTATTGAGCATTTCCAAATATGTAAATCCATTGAATAATCTTTAAGTATTAAGAGTCTTCATTCTACCTGGAACCACAAACATAGTGGGTGTTGTCTAGGTCTTAGCAGAGAACCTTGAGGGTGCTGGGGTTGGCCCAAGATCCATGCATTGGGTCATGGTCTCCATGGAGCTGACCAGTGCAACCAGCTGTCTTGTGCAGTGCTCTTGACTTCTGGCCACTTCTAGTTGAGGAACATGGCGGGTGGCCCAGATAGGTAGCAGAGCCAGTCCACGCCTCGGCTTTTCTAAATATCTTTCACTTCACCTATGCCCTTAAAAAAATAGTGCATTGTTACATGTCAATGATCTGTTTTTATATCATAATGGAGTACTTTCCAATCACAATATATCCTCACTCACTGTTACATATCAAAGATGCACTGTCTCATCACAATGGTCAAAAGTCCTATGACCAACTGTTTTATTACAATGGTCCACAATAATATAATAAAGGTTTACTGTTCTTTGTCAGTGTTCTAATGTTATATTTACAGTGGTCAAAATACTTCACTGTCACACTACAATGTTACTCTCTTCTATTGCAGTGATAGACCTTCTCTCACAGTGGTCTACTCTCCAATCAAAATGGCCTACTGTACTGTCACAATAATTCACTGTCTCTTTATAATAGCCCACAGTCCCATATCAATGGTGTTGTTTCCATCATTATTGTGATATCTTATCACAATTATCTGATGTTCTGGAAAAGTGGCCCAATGATCCATATCAATGAACCACTGTTCCATGACAATTGTCCACTGTCCATTCCACATTAATATGGTCAAGTGTTCTATCACAATGATTCACTTTCACATTAAAATGTTTCACTGTGCTTTCTTGAAGATCCAATATATTTCTTCAAGGATATATTATATGCTATGTATAACTAGTCAACTTTCCCATCTAATCTGGTTATATAATAATGTTCCATAAATTTCTATCTCATAAAAATGTTCCTTACCATTATAGTGGTTCAATGTCACATCACAGTGACTCACTTCACATCACAATGATATACTCACTCATCACAATAATCTGCTGTCCAAACCCTATGATTCACTCACTGTACAATCACAAAGGACCACTGTCACATCACAATAATCCATGGTCCCATCACATTTCCAACAGTCTTATCACAATGGTCTTTCATCTCATTGCAATTATGCAATGTTTTATCACAATAATGCAGAATCATCACAGTGTGCTAGCACAATGTTCCAATGTTTGATGATAATAATGATCTAATATTCTATGTCCTAAAAGAATAGTCCACTATTGTATCATTACAATCTTCCTTTATGTCACAATGTTGCAATACCAGGCACAATGATTAACTTTCCAACCACAATTTGTCAATGTTACATATCAAAAATGCACTGCCTCATCATTAAGATTAAAAGTCCTATCCCTTATAACTGTGGTCTATGATCACAGCTCAATGGTCTTCTGTACCTTTTCCTCTTCACATGATCCATTATACTCCATTGTTCTATTACACCAATACTCTCTCCCATCAAAATCATCTATTGTCACATTGAAATGTCCCACTGTTCCATCAGAATAATCCACTATCTCTTTAGAATGGCCCATAGTCCCACCATGATGCTGTTATTTCCATAACAGTTGTCCACCATTGGATTACAATGATTAACTGTCTCTATCTAATGATAAACTCTCCCATGACAATGTTCAACTGTAATATTACAGTGAACCATTGTTCCAGAAAGAAAATGGCTCACTCTCCTATTACAATGTTCCTATCACAAGGATTTGTTGTCCAATCCCAACTTTCCATTCTAAAATCATGATGATCAAATATCCCATCAAAATATTCTCCATTAGCAATGGCTCATTGTTCATCTGCAATGATTCATTTTCTAATCTCAATAGTCCATAATCCCATCAAAATGGACTATTGTCCCATCACAATGGTCCACTCTTTGATCACAATTGTCCACTGTCCAATCACAATTACACATTGTCTAATTGCAATGATCTACTGTCCCATTCAATGGCCCATTGGTCTTATGCCCAATAACAATTGCTATAGTCCCATCAGAATGGTCCCCTGTCTCATCACAATAATAGATTTTCCAATTACAATTATTCCCTGTCCAATCAGGTTTACTGTTATTCTCTATCATAATGGTCCACTGTCCCATCAGAATGATTTTCTTTATCACCAGAATTGTTTATTGTTCCATATCAAATATCCACTGTTTGATCACAACTGTCCAAAGTCCTATCCTCTATAACAACTGTTAATTTTCTCATCACAATGGTATAATGTATCATAATAAAGATCCTCCCTTTCATCATGATTTTCCACTGTTCCATCATAATGATTCTCTGTCCTATTCCCTTACAAATTGCTCTAGCTTATTCATCAAAATGTTACACTGCCTCATCAAAATGATCCATTGTCCTACACTATGATACACTCCCACATCACAATGGTCCCATATCTCAATATAATGTCCCATTGTCCCATCAAAATGATTCAGTGTCACATAAGAATGGGTGAGAGTAGCTTCACAGTGATGCAATTTCCCATCAGAATGGTCCACTATCCCATTACAATGATGTCCTATCCCATAACAATAATACATTTTCTGATCAAAATGTACCTCTGTCCTATCAATTGATCCTCTGTTCCATCACTAAGGCCACTACAAATCACAATGATTCATTATCCCATAAATGTTCCATTCTCCTATTACAATGATTCACTTTCTAATGACAACGGTCCACTCTTCCATCACATTGACCCTATCTCCCACTACAATGTCATACTGTACCATCACAATGGTCTATTATTCATCCAGAATAATCTGTGTACAGTCACAATGGTCTACAGTTCCATTACAATGATCCTCTGTTGCATCAAATTGACCTACAATCAAATTAAAAAGTTCTACTGTCCTATCACAATAATCTAAAGTCCCATCACAAAGATTCACTATCTTATCACAATGATTCACCCTCCCATCATAATAGTCCACAGCCCTATGACAATGATTCATTGCCTTAATTCTCATCTCCATGATGAAGATTCCCTTTATAATGGCCTTCTGTCACATCACAAAGTCCGCTGTCTGTTTTCAATATCCCACAGTCCCAAAACACTGATTTACTGGCCTATCACAGTTATACAATGTACAATTACAATGGTTCACTGTCCTATTCCCTATCATTGTAATCTACTGTCTGATCAGAATGATTAACTTTCTCATGACAATATTGTACTCTTCCATAACAAAGATCCACTGTTTCATCATGATGGTACAAAGTCCTATCCTCTATAACAATGGTTAACCATGACATCACAATGTTCCATGATTATATAAAAAGATTTGTGCTTCCATCCTAATTTTCCACTGTTCATTGGTCTACTGTGGTAGTCCCTCTCAAATTCATCCACTGTCTGTAACACAATTTTGGACTCTCTCATCACAACGGCCCACTCTCCCATCACAATGATGTACAGTCCAATCATAATGATTCACTATTCCATCCCAATGACATATTCTACCATCACAATTGTCACTTGTCCTGTCACAATAGTATACTGTTCCAACACAATGATCCATTTTCTGATCACAGTGGTCAACTATCCTCTTGTAATAATTATCTATTCACAATGGTTCTCAGTTTTATTAACATGTTTACTGCCCCACCAAAAGATTTCTTGTTTTATCACAATGGGACACACATCTATCACAATTGCTTAAGCTTCACAAGTGGGTTGGGTCCTATCCGATATCTTAATGCACCACTTTATCTTAACAATGCCCCACTGTCCTAGCCCTGTCATTTGATTCTCTGCCCAGTCACAATATTTCACTTTCTCATCACAATGATACACTGCCCCATCAATGATATATTGTTCCATAATAATTGACCATTGCCCCATACTCTCTTGCACTGGAACACTTACATCAGAGAGATCCAATCTCTTATTCCTTCTAACAGTGTCCACTATACCATCAAACTGGTACACTGTTCTATCGCTTAAGTCCACCTTTCCTTCACAATTATCCACTGTCCTATCACAATGGTCCTCTGTCCCTTCATGATGTTTAATCTAACTAGAATGGTCTATATTTCTATCACAATGATTCACCATTTCATAACATCAGTTCTCTGGGTCATCAGTATGTTCCCCTCTCATAAGGGTCAATTGTCTTAATTGGTCTAACTTTGTTCCACTGTTATGTAATACCCACCTTGTAGTATACTTTGTCACAGTGGTCCAGCCTCCATCAAAGTGATCCCCTTCC